CATTCAAGCCTATTGTGACTATAACAGTTGCTGATTTCCTCGTGCGTAGGATGAACCATCGAGGCTCATCGATGTTGCGTTGTTGTTGTTGCTGTTGTTTGACTGTGCAGGTGCCCCTTGCTGGTGTTGTTCGTAGAAGGACATGAAAGAGAAGAATTTCTCCATCATGTCTGGGTCGAAGGCCGCGGCTCGATTTGCGGGAGTTTCTGAAGACGTTGCTCTTGGTCTTGTTGCCGTACCCTCCTCTGTCTGTAGGCCAGAGGCAGGTGGTGGAGTAGGAGTAGTACCGGGAGAGCCGTTAGAGGAGCTTCTCTCCTTCTGCGTTGCCATGCCTTGTGATGTTGTGGGTGTCTTGATTGTAGTTGAATTTGTCCTGATAGCTCTCATACCATGTTGGGCTGAGAAAGCCCTTAGGATCTTTGCAGGACTAAATTCAGAGTAGAACAATGTAGTAGCGGAAGCGTTAAATGAGAAGTTTGTGAACCACCTTGCGCTAGTATGTGAGGGCAAAGTAGATTGATTAAAACAAAGGGATACAAGTTTTTATAAGAGTACAAGGAATACGAAGAGATATAGTTAATAACCGTTTTTGCTGTTGCTGTTGCGGTTCGGTACAGTGACGACTCGGGCAACTGCTCAATAGCGAGTCAGTTGTTTGTCCTTGCTGTCGCACTGTATTTGTCAGGTCAAAGGTCGCTGACCTTTGACTTTCGCATAACCTCCAGCAGTTGTTCAACCTCCGAGGGTTGACTCGCTAATGCTTCGATATGTTTCGCTTCGCTTCTGACTTGGTGTTTCGACACGACAGAAGCGCTTAAATCAATTTTTTCCAACACCTATAGCCCGAATAATACGGTACTCCCTCCCACCCCTTGCCTCCAAAATCCATCCCGTTCCACCTGCATGTACCATAGGTAGTTCAGATTAGGATGGAATTGGTTACTGGACTCATCAAATGGCAGTTGTAACTTACGGTATATGCCACAGGTTCTGATTCATACTCAAATCTACTAGACCTATGGCAGAAAAAGAGAGGCTATTTTTAGATACGGTACCCTATCCCTCCACTCCACCACCCCTCCCCCTCCCTCCGCCACCACATCCCTTTATTTAATTAGCAGCTCCAGCATTGAGTATCATGCCACGCTACCTTAGATTGCAGAAAAAAACCCAGTTGAAGATACCGGTAAGCAGGGTTTGTCTACACCTCATAGTCTTCAGTCCTCTTTAACGCAAGCTCCAGCATCTTTGCTGCACGGCGCATGTCCTCTATACAAGCATCGGCAGTAGAGCAAAGTTCGACACGAGAAAACGGCTCCTCCGTGACGAGGCTCGAAGACCTCATAATCCCAGAGCAACAACCAGGCTGCGGGTGTGTATTCTTTCTTTTGTGCTTTTCGGCATTCCCAAGGTGACCTCTGGGCGCGGTGTTGCTGACGGTGGTGCTTCTGGGGGTGTTGGTGTTGATGCTGCTGCCTGTGCTGCTTCTGCTGATGGTGTTGGCAGTGTTGCTGCTGGTGATGATGTTGCGGCAGCAGCTACAGCTGTACTCGTTTAGAGCCGACTCACTAGTGAACTTCGGAAAGTTGGAACCCTCACCCCACTCGATAACGTTGTTTCCCTGGCATTACAACAGTCATTGCCGCTGCAGCTGCTTCCGTAAAACCACTTGCATAAAGCAGAAAGTTTCACTTTCCGCAAAAGCCTTCTCGAACCAGAACCAGTAGATGTAGAGGGCGGAAATGTCAATGACGAGGATGTCAATAATAGCGGGGATGGTACATCGCCCGTGGCGTGCGAACCGACTCCGTTGTTCACGCCAACGCCGGCTGGTACTGGGGTTCCTCCCCCCTGTAATCCTGAAAGCGAGTCGCACGTTGTGTAGGAGAGTGGCGTTTCGTCCGTCGCGTGCGGCCCGGAGTAGCTCACAGCACGGCTTATCTTGTTCCCTTGCGACCAGTTGTGAGGAGGGTTGTCGTAATGGAGATTGTAACGCGTACAGCTTGGGGGATAGGTAGTATCGCCGTAATAACCGCTGGACGTAGGGTATCTCTCTGGTGCGGTATTGTCATAAGTACTCAACGCAGTCCTAGAAACTGCCGTATTTCTGGCGACGGAAACACCCTCTCTGCCGTTCCCGTCGCCGTCAGTCGCGGAGTCGAATCTTTCGGGGCACGACGCGAACGTGCGCAGCAGCGAGCGCGACGAGCTGCCTTGTCCCGCTTGGCGCAACGTGTGCGGAACGACCTGGTAAGTCGCGCCGGGAATCAGGGGGCGCCAGGCGGGAAGCGGAATGTGTTGCGGAATGTGTTCGTCCGGGAAGCTGTCCGCGGAGACTCCGCGGCTGTGGGGACTCCCCGGCGGAGGGGCGGCGGGGGAGAGCGCGAGGTAGTGGCGGGGGAACTCGCGGAGAACGTCCGCCGCGGTCAGGATACCGGGAGTCCTCAGAGACTGCAGCGACGCGCAGCGGGGGTAGGTTTGCGCCCAGTCGGTATGCGCGCGCGCGTCTTCAGAGTCCGCGTACCGTGTCCCCGCACGCGGAGTTGGCGGGGGGCTCAGCCTGAGCCCGTCGCTCCTTCCCCTCGCGCGCTTGCCGCCTTCCGTCGAACGGGGTTGGTAGTCGGCCGGCGGCGGCGGCGGCGGCGGCGGCAAATCTTCCGTTGCCGCCGCGAGATGCGGCGTGATGAGGCGGATCGTGCCGTCCGGAAGCACGACGATGGCGGGATCGGAGTCGGTCAGCATGATGGCGCGCGGCGCGTTGATGTGACGACGCTGAAGAGTGCAGCTATTTTCAGCTTCTGGTAAGACGTGACGACGCTGTTAATGATGGTTGTAGAGCAGCTCAAGAAGTGACGACACACGTGACCGCGATGGTGACGACGCTAGTAGTAATAAGAGCGATAGACAACCCTTGAACCGGTTGGTAGAACAAGGCGAGTGAGTATTGGGTCGCGTCATGCTGTACTTATGGAGGAGCGTTGCCCCGCGTATTACACTACACGTGACTGCGTTAGCGTGGCGTGTGGTCTTGCTGCAAAAACCACTGTTGAGGGAGATATTAGAGCGCGCGCTGCTCGTAGCACTACGCGTGGCAGGGATGTACGTAATCATTAACTCGTCTCTTCAAACGAGGACGAAAAGGACAGAGTCTTCTTGCGCGTTAGAATCCACAAAGAATATACGATCCGCCAGCTGGATCTGCCCGTGGCAGGAGAGGAAAGGAGGACCGTACAGAGAGACCTAATTGGAGTACGACGAATGGCTGCTGGCGTCGTCCCTCAAATAATGTGCCGTTGTAGTTGAGCTCTGCTGCTGAAATTGGGATTGAAGGGATTGCAGTTACCTGTTGGCCGGATCGACCAAGAGGAGAGACACTGTCGGTTGTCACTTAAAATCCGTTTACAGCATCGAGTCACAGAGGCTTGTGATCATTGTGCTGGTGCTGTTGCTGAAACGTGGGGGGGCAATGCGAGGTTTGCGATTTTCTTCCTCACGACAGCCATGTAATAGTTCCAATGGTGCGACTCGATTGGGGATGGAGTCGAGTCGAGACGAAAGAGACTTGAGGGAGGATGCCGGGCCGGTGGGGATGGGATTGAGGGGCAGCGCTTCAATTCATCCCTTCGTCACCACCACGCCACATTGGAGTGATCTGCTCAAATGTGTGCGCGTGGTCGTGCCTGAGGGACAACTCCGCGTCACGAAGTCCTTTTTATTTCCGAGACGCGATGTTGAAAAGGACCTTGCGGTTGATGGTTTCGAAACCTCAAAATTCAGCAATCTATTTTGATGGGAAAGGACAATACGGAACAATCGCGAAACTGCATCGCTATTCGTACAACAAGCTATTAGCTATAAGAAAGTACAAGTCTTTTGTACTTACTACCGTATGTGCTACATGGTGCAGCTGCTATGGACTTATAAGAACGAAACTTAGGTACCACTACCAGTCCTCAATGTCGACCATTGGAAAAATACAAGGGGAAAATGCATAACAAGCGCATTCGTTGGCCCATCAATGCAGCGTTACAATTACATGTACGTTAGCAGACATGGTCTAGCACATCTTGTATTGCAGCACTTCCTTTTAGGCGCTACATCTTAATCACCACTTCGCCCATACTGTGCACATTAAACACTACTTCACACAAATCACGATTGAGCACTAGTTCTCAGCTTCAGCAACCCATACTTTTGCAAAAGCGACTTCACTCGAGCCCATAACGGCATGGCCTCCGGTAACCGCATGGTAACCACAAGGGTGCAGAAGACAAGAAAACCCGCAGCAGCTGCCGTGCCAAGTGCTGCCGCATCTAGTAACCACACCCATGTGGATTGCAAGGAGAGTGAGTGAGAGGCGGCTGTAAGTGCAGCAGAGAGGAGTTTGTGTGTGGCTGTGACTGTGATGGCTGTGGCAGCGGCTGATTGGAAGAGGATGGAGAATGAGGGCCACCAGAGGGAGAAGGGGAGACCTGCAGATCGAGGGAGTGAGGGAGGGAATGGAGGGAGAGGGGTACGCAATTACAGCAGACAGTGAGTGTGAGGAGCCTGTAGACAAGAAAACCTGCAGCAGCTGTCGTGCCAAGTGCTGCCGCATCTAGCAACCACACCCATGTGGGTTGCAAGGAGAGTGACTGTGAGGCGGCTGTAAGTGCGGCCGAGAGGAGTTTGTGAGTGACTGTGACTGTGATAGCCGTGGCAGCAGCTGATTGGAAGAGGATGGAGAAGGAGGGCCACCAGAGGGAGAGAGGGAGGCGTGCAGATGGAGGGGAGTGGAGGGAGAGGGGTAAGGGGGGATTGAAGCAGGTGAGAGTGAGGCAGTGTTGTTGGTGGAAGCAGTGACAGTGCCATTGGCAGCAGTGGCGGCACTGGCAGTGCCATTGGCAGCAGTGGCGGCACTGGCAGTGCCATTGGCAGCAGTAGCAGCAGTGGCAGCAGCTGATAGTAAGAGGACTTTGGAGAGAAAGCCCTAAGCCGGCATAATACAGCCTTCCGCTTACCTCCCATTCTCCTGTGTGCCAGCCACAGCAGCGCTACAGCCGAAGCACTGTTCACAGCGGCTGTAGCGAGCACAAGGCCCTGAGGCCCAAACTCCCAGCGGCTCACGAATAGGAAATCCAGGACCGCGTTGGCTGCTATAGCGAATGTGCTTATAAGGAAGGGCGTCGTGCCATCAGCAAGGGAGTAGAAGAGACGAACGAGGACATCACGGGCCAAGTAGCAGGGGGAGCCGAGGAGGTCTGGGGGTGAAGTGGGGGGAAACAGAGGGAAGAAGTATGTGAACAGCTTCTTGAGGCAGTGTGAGCTGTCAGAGAGGGAGTAGAAGAGACGCACGAGCACGTTCCGAGCCAGGTTGCAGGGTGAGCCGAGTAGGTCTGCAGGTAAACCGAGGGGAAAGAAGGGGAAAGAAGGAGAAAAGTGAGTGCATTGTTTCTTGAGGCAGTGTGAGCCGTCAGCGAGGGAGTAGAAGAGACGCACGAGCACGTCCCGAGCCAAGTAGCAAGGGGAGCCGAGGAGGTCTGAGGGAGAGAGAAAAGAGAGGTGAGGGGAGGAGGAGTGGAAGGGCATTATCATCATTGGAAAACCTATCGGCCTCACCCATAGCTCATGTCAATAGGAATAAGCATTGGGAGTAAAGAAAACGAAGCAGCTTTGAGGGCGTGTGCAGATAGAGAGAGAGGGGAAGGACAGGCAGGAAGTACTGACAGCAGGAGAGGAGCGATGAGACGAGGGAGGTGGCAGAGGCATCGAAGGAACGCCGTTGGAAGACAGTGCGCACGATGGGACGGGCCAATGGGAGCATGACAGCTGTCATCGGGAGAGTCACGGCCTGTGAGGGTGGGGAAGAGGATCGGTGGGATGGGGTGGGGTGGGGTTGGGTGAGGTGAGGTGAGGTGAAGTGAGGTGAGATGTGATGAGGTGAGATGAGTTGTGGGGTGGGTTGAGAGAGGAGGCCGATGCAAAAAGAGAGGCAGTGCAGTGTGTGGTATCAACCAGGTGGCATAAACACTACACCATCAACAGCATGCCTCAAGATGGCCAGGCAATAGCCATGCCATGCTATACCATATCATACCATAGCATGGCACGCCATGCCATACCATACGATGCTATACCATGCCACACCACACCGTGCCACACCACACCATGCCACACCACACCAGGCCACACCACACCGTGCCACACCGTGCCACACCATACCGTGCCATACCATAGCCATGACCAGCCCTCGTCGCAAGCTATCCTTCAAGAGAGGGCGATCCTTGGGCTGTTGGTGGAAGGGAGAGGGGGAGTAGAAAGGAAGGGGGGGATTGGGGGAGAGAGAGGGGGGACGGGGGAAGGGGGCGAGAGGGGGGAATAAGAGTGGTTGGTATGACCAGCCCTTGTCGCAAGCTGTCCTTCAAGAGTGAGCGATCCCTTGGCTGAAAGGGGGTAAGGAGAGAAGGGGAAGGAGGATAGACCCTGAATCCTTACACGAGCAAGGAGGATAGAGGGATGGCTCATGCAAGGAATCCCATCCTTCCCGACGCAAGGATAGGAGGGAACCCTCACATCACATGAGCCAGGCCGGCAAAGAGAGGCAGCAGAGGCACGAGGAATGCCAGAGGGAGGATAGATAGACACACTCCCCACACACCCTCACGCACTCCCTCACACACCCTCACGCACTCCCTCACACACACTCACGCACTCCCTCACACACACTCACGCACTCCCTCACACACACTCACGCACTCCCTCACACACACTCACGCACTCCCTCACACACACTCACGCACTCCCTCACACACACTCACGCACTCCCTCACACACACTCACGCACTCCCTCACACACACTCACGCACTCCCTCACACACACTCACGCACTCCCTCACACACACTCAAGCACTCCCTCACACTCACTCACATGTTCCAGTCCAGGCAGGCAAAGTGAGGCAGCAGGGGCACGAGGAGGGTGGTGGTGAGAATAGACACACTCCCATCCCCCCCCCACACACATTCTGACTCACACACTCACTCACACTCACTCACACGCACGCACTCACTCACACTCACTCACGCGCACACACTCGCTCACACGCACACACTCACATGGGCGAGGCGGGCAAAAAGAGGCAGCAATGGCACGAGGAGGGCAGTGGAGAGAATACCAAGGGGTGCCATGCACAGCAAATTGGCGTCTGGGGAGGGGTGGGTGGATCGGGGGGGGAACAGGTTGGGATGGGGAAGAGAGGGGGATAAGGGTCGGGGAGGGAAGGATGAGGCGGGCATGGGGAGGGCGGTGGAGAGAATACCAAGGGGTGCCATGCACAGCAGATTGGTGTCTGGGGGGGAAGAGCAAGAAGGGGGGGGTGTTATAGTCACAATAGGCTTGAATGTGCCTAAAACGAAAGATAGAGAGCACAGACGGATTTCTGCACAGCGGCTTCAAACGTTGATAGCGTTCTGCTCACAGCTGCAAATGACTTGATTCAAATTGGATCTGGAGCGTCTTCACGTCGTCTACAATTAGCAATTTAGATTGCACGATTTGATAAAGAATTGACGACACAGCGTCGGTTTGAACGAACGGTACTATGGCAGCCACTATAGTCTTAGAACACAAGATAGGAAGAGTTAGCAAGGGTTACGAGTTGGGAATGACTCCCAGCTCCTACAAACCCCAAGAGCCGAGGTACAGTGATGTGGAACAGTGCCACACTGTCCCCAACCACGAAGGGTCTCGAAACTACCCTTCACTAGGGCCTACACCAAGTGAAATGTTACACTACACAAAGTAATGTAACTATCTTCAATATCTTGAGGTGTACCCTTTTTGGCGAGCTTCGAAATCACTTGAGGCTTGACACCAAGGCTCGGGCTCTTCATCACAAACTCATCCTTGAGTTCTTGATGGGTCTGCTGCACACACCTGCGACACGCCGAACGTTCGACACAGGACAAAATAGAAACCGCGCACGGCAAAATAGAAACCGCGCGCGAGACACAAACGACCGCGTAACACGCGTCTAGCGATAACTCGCTATTGACTCGACACACACACTCGACATCATGACTCAACATTCACACACAATTATAAGCATGAAATATATATTATTCCATGCCCTCATACCATTCCATACACACACACATTCACGCACACGGACAACAAGCCGAGTGCAAACCGTAGGGTTGCACCAACAAACTCCCCCTCGGATTGTTGGCCTTAAGATATGTTGCTCTCTCAGTTCAGAGCCATCCCAGCCAGCTTGCAACACTTCCAATGCTGCTGCTCCACCAGCCTCTTGGTCATCATGTCAGCCGGCTGCCCCGTGGTCTTCACGTAGCGCAACTCAACTTCACCCGCGGTTACCATGCTCCTCGTCCAATGCCACTTCACTCTCATGTGCTTCGTGAGTCCATGCAACACAGGGTTCTTAGCAAGAGCAATGGCACCCTGGCTGTCACAGTACAGTGGGGTAGGTCCTTGCTGCTCCTCCCCCAATTCAGCCAACAAACGCCGCTGCCACACAATCTCCCGTACGGCACGGAAGAGTGCCATGTACTCGGACTCCACCGAGCTCAAAGCTTGGTCAACCTGCTTCTTGCTCTCCCAAGCAGTTGGGCCTCCACCAACACAGCATATGAAGCCTTCCACACTTGTCATGTCCTCTGGTTCTGATGCATATGAAGCATCCGAGTAGGCGGTGAGGAACAAACGCCCGGGTTCAACACCATCCGCGCCCTTTTGGCGCCTTTGTGCCGCCGCCGAGTATTGCAGCCCAACGGTCGGTGTTTGGCCAAGATACTTGGCCACCCTCATTCCAGCTGCTACCTGCTCCTCATTAGGGCATTGCACAACCCTAGCCAGCTGCCCGGTAGCAAACGCGACGTCCGGTCGGGTGTTTACCGCCGCATACATGAGGCTGCCCACCAACGAGTGAAATCGGCGCCTCTCCTCTTCACCAACGCTCTCCTCCTCTGGTCCCTTCACACACTTGAACCCAGAGGGAAAGGGTGTAGCCACATGGCCTTCACTCTGCCCAACGTTGGCAGCCAATGCCTCCAGGTACTTTCGTTGATGCACCCGCATGCACCGCTTCTCCACATCTCGTTCGATGTGGAGCCCAAGGTAGAAGCTCACGTCACCAAGGGCCTTGCACTTGAACTTGTCTTGAAGCTTCAGCATCACCTCCTTCACAAGGTCAGAAGAGGGTGAGAAAATGAGGATGTCATCCACATAAACCACCATGAAACTCCTCTGCTCCCCCTCGCCAAGCATGAACAAGGAGTGATCGGCCGTTGAGGGAGTGAAGCCGATCCCCTCCAACACTTCGCGCAGCTTCATGTACCATTGCCTAGGGGCCTGCTTCAGCCCATAGAGGGCCTTCTTCAGCTTCCACACTCTGCCACTACCATCATCAAACCCCTCTGGCTGCGCCATAAAAATCTCCTCCTCAAGGATGCCGTTAAGGAATGCCGTTACGATGTCCATTTGCTTTACTACCCATCCTTTGATGGCGGCTCCCGCGAATAGGGTTCGCAGCGTCGTCGGCTTCACCACAGGGGCAAACAGCTCCTTGAAGTCCACCTTCTCCTTTTGCTGGTACCCCTTGGCTACAAGCCTAGACTTGTAGCGCTCGATCTTGCCGTCGGCATCCGACTTGATTTTGAAGAGCCACTTGGACGTTATCGCCGTACGCCCCTCCGGTAGCTCCACCAATTCAAACGTGTCATTCTCCTCGATGCTCTTCAGCTCACTCTCCATGGCCTTCTTCCACTCCTCAGCATCACTACTCTCCAAAGCCTCCTTGAGAGTTGCTGGTTCTCCCGGCATCTCCACCGGAGAGAAGAACGCGAAGGCACACTCCTCGTAGTCACTCTCCTCGTCGTCTCCGACCATCATTGCCGCTCCGGCTTGGGCTGTCTTGCCCTGCTTTCCCGGCGCATCATAGGTCAGCCTATTAGGGGGTTGAACTCTCCTCTTCCCCCTTCCTTCCTCCTCAGCTGCAGGGACTTGAAGGCCTTGGCGTTGCTGCGGTGTGGCTCGAATCCGTGGAGCACTCGTAGTACGGGAAGGGAGTGACGGTGCACGCTCGCTCACTTGCTGCACCTCCTCCTCTTCTTCCTCTGCATCATTGGCCTCCTCTCCCCCATTCACAAGGGAGGATTGCCTTGTGGTTGTGCTGCCGCTGCTCAGCTCCAAAGGCAGCTCCACATGCTCCAAACCGGAACTCTTCACCTCCCCAAACCGCACGCCTATCTTCGCCTCATTCTCCGCCTTCCAATCCTTGTACATGAAGTTCTCCATGAACTTGCAGTCCCTGCTCACCAAGAACTTCTTGGTGAATGGGTCCCAAAGAAGCCATCCCTTGCTGTTTTGAGCCATGCCCAAGTGCACGGCCCACACCGCCTTGGCACCAAGCTTGTTGTGCCGAAGATGCTTAGGCACGAGCGCCATGCACATGCACCCGAACACCCGAAGCATATCCACCTTTGGCTTCCTTCCTAGCCACTCCACATAGGGCACCCATTTGTCTGCTCCCACATGAGTCAAGGCTCTGTTCTTGGCCACACACGCGCTCCGCACCGCATCAGGCCAGAAATAGTCGGGTAGCCCGGCTTCAATGAGCAACCCGCGTGCCGCCTCCGTGATTGTGCGGTTCGCTCGCTCGGCGATGCCGTTCATTGCAGGGGAGTATGGCATGGTGAGGGAGTGCCGAATACCATTCTTCTTCAGCCACAACCCAAACTCCTTGCTCAGGAACTCTCCCCCTCGATCGGTGCGGATTGACTTGACTAGACGGTCTTGTTGCCGCTCCACCATCGGGAACCAATCCGTCTTCAACGTTTCAGCCACGTCGCTCTTCTTGGCCAGCACGTACACCCAAGTGATGCGGGTGTAGACGTCGACAATGGTGAGAAAATACTCAGCTCCAGCAGCTCCAAGCTTCAGGGGGCCCACCACGTCCATCACCACCTCATCAAGCGGTGCCTTTGCCGTTGCCTCCGAACTAGGGAACGGAAACCGGGTGAACTTGGCTTGAATGCACGTCGGGCAGCCAAGCACCTCATCGGGCTCCCCCTTCACACGTATGCCAGCAACCATCTCATTCTTCACTAGCTGCTGCAAGATGGGCAGGGCCACATGCCCCATGCGCCGATGCAAGGTGAGCCAATCACACTCCCCCGTAGCCGAATTTGGATTGGAGAATGCCGCGCTCGCAATAGCGCCCCACATACTCTCTCCGTAGTCCTCCTCCGCTGCTGCCTCTGGGTTCTCCTCACCCTTTTGCTGCTCCTTGGTTGCTGCACCACTCTCCTTAGGTTCACTGAACTTGCTGGTCCCTCCAGGTTTGCTCTTCTTGAGCTCATTCTCCTTAGCGCGACCGTTCGCGCCATCGTCGCTACCGACCGCTCCATCCTTGGTGCTGATGCTTGCTGCCACTCCTTAGGCATAGGGACCACTGGGATCTGCCACATCTCGTTGTAGACATCCCTGTCCTCATGAAGGTCCCAAGGAATTCGATCGCCAAGCCTTGCGGTGTAGGTCTTGGCTCCCTTCGAGTTCGTGTCCATGCCGGCCTTTGCCAACCGCCGCACGGAAATCAGGTTTGCAGCAAGGCTGGGCACCCAAAGCACGTTCTTGAGGCCCAACATCTTCCCATCAGCACCCTTGAACATGGCCTTGCCCATGCCTTTCACCTCTGCTCGCTGCCCCAAAGCCGATGTGACATGCTTCACCGGTGACGGCTCGAGTTCGGTGAGCAAGTCCGGGCGAGGTGTCATGCTATAGGTAGCGCCACTATCAATCACCCAATAGTCCAGGGGGTGTAGGGTCACCTTCCCCACAGCTGCTGGCTCCTCAAAGCCTTCATCCTTCTCTGGACCAGCCGGTACTTGCGTCGACACGAAGTAGAATAGACCCGGGTATCGATCGTCGCTCGGGTCCTTGTCGTTGTCTCCGCTCTTCATGTTTGCAGCTCCGCCACCGCGACCGCCACGGCCTCCACGGCCTCGTCCTCTCCCTCCTCCTGCTCCTCTACCCTCTTGGCCTTGAGCAGGGGTCCAACCATCAGGGAGTTTGTAGCAGTCGCGCCACATGTGTCCGCTCTTGTGGCAATAGTGACACTCGCCGTCGAATCGGCCGCGACCGCGTCCGTAGCTCTTGTCGTCGCTGCCGTAACCGCCACTCCTGCGG